CCCCCCCCCCCCCCCCCTTATAATTTTGATTTCTGGAAACTGGAATTAACTGTGTTTTTCTACTGAGAAATACCATATACATTATGCCTTTCTGTGCCGTACAGACCCCAGGGTTTCATTAATTGATGGCATCTCCTGTACAGCGGGAGATTAAAAACTTACAGGGGTGATACAGATGGAAAGGTCATTAACAGAACTAGAGAAATCCATCTGCAAATCTCACTCTGCAAAGGTTTTATGTAACAGTTCAATCTAACTGAGATGGTACTGAATAACAGGCAGTATACTGAAAGTCTTCTAACACTTTCCAAAGCCTGGATTTGTGGATAGGGGGATAAATCATTGTATTGCTTATAGTTTGATGGATAGAGAGTGGAGAGTTCTACAGTCAAGTGATTTATTAAATATGGATGCTGTTATGAGTTGTTTCAAAATGAAGAAAGACAACACAAAGGATGATTTATTCTGCATTTATAGCACTATCAGTTTCAGAAGTGAGCAAGTGAATACAGCTGTATCCAGAAGTTCTAGAAAAATTTAAGGAATAAGCATTTTTCAATTAAATAACATTAGGAAAAAGCAAATGCGATCACAAAAGTGGTAAGACATTGCTTGGTAACTAAAGAGTTACCCCTTGATAGCTTTAGTTAGGGCTTCGCATGCAATATTTTTACCTTCATGAGAGACTGTGAACCATTTCACAAGACAAAAGTGTAACCAGTGTCAGAGCTGTCCAGTTACCCAACTGATGGAAAGTTCCTCCAAGGCAATGCTCTCTCTGTCCTTATACAATCTGAGGTTGTGGAACTTCTTTCCTGTTCTTACCACAGTTCTAGCAAATCTAAGAGGCTGAGCCTGAACTTCTTACACCTCACTATGTAGCTGGATTCACATACTGATTTGCTTGGGCTATCTAATTCTTCATTTTATTTACTAATTTTGCTAAATACATGGTAAAGGAATAAGCTGTAACAATTTGACCACTAGACTCAAGCAGCACAAAATCAAAAAATCTAAATGACAGCAGCACAACTTACACACTTTCATTGTTGGGTTCTACTGTAGTTGAGAAACTTGATTGTAAGCAAAGATATCTGTCCTTTGATTACACTTTACAGAATTGTGACTGCTTGCAACTGCAATTCTACTTAAGATACAAGAGTTGCAAGATTTTGTTCCTACACATCTTGATATGAAGCTGACCATTCTTGACTGTTTGCATTCTCACATTCTTCCCTTACTGCTCTACAGAGATTTATGTGAATTTTTCCATGTAATTTTGTATACAAGGTTGTTGGGACAAGTGCTTCCAGGACTTACGGTGAACACCTAAGCACAACATTTGAACATAAAATTTTCAATTACTTGCAGGAATGAAAATAAAGTTTCCTGGTTATGTCCCATTAGCCCGAGGTCCTAATACCTTACTTAAATTTGCATATACTCCTAGTTTATTGTCAAGGGATGAATTTATGATGCAAGATGCTTTTCAGCATAGGCAAAGGTATCCCTGTTTTGCCTACTTGCAAAATATTATTCCATCCATTCTTTAAAGAGCCACAAAGACCTCACTCTAATGCAAAAAGTAAATTTAAATGCTATGCAGGACCAGTCATGAAATTAAACAGGTATTTTCTAATGTCTCAAAAAAAATATTTATGGAATATTTGAGTAACTCTGCTCTCTGCTGAAAGTGCAGCTATTGAACAGTCTTGAGCTACAGCTCAAGCTATTGAATGGACTTCAGAGCTACAGGCAGAACTAAATCAGTGTATCACCCCTTTCAAGAAAAATAATACTGATAGGCTTACCCATATGAATCCCTACAGGACAGGTCTGGTCCTGGGTGTTTTACTTTGGTTTCTATACATGTAACTTCTACTCCTAACTTAAGTAATCAGAAACTTTTAGCAGATTTTAGCAAGACTGAATTTCCGGTATCTCATTAAAAATAAAGCACAAAACGTTTTCAAAATAACAATACATTAATTCCCTAATAATAGTGCTGATGAATCAAAAATGCACCTCCAGCAGTCCTTATCACCATATTTGAGGAATTATGTCTTTAGCAGCAGAAGATAAATTCAACAAGGCATAATATACAATTTTAAAGACTTTCAGAAGACTCTAGATTATTATCATGAATTTGCACAATTCTTGTAACATCAAAGATAGTCCAACAGCAGCAAAGGCACTCCTCTTTTCCTCTGCATTTTGACTGGCCAGGAGCAATCAATAAATTGAAAATAGTGAACAGAAAGAATCTTTAGCAGAATTAGTGTATAACTGAAAATGCTGGCAAGGACCTCTCCCCATAGCTGGATCCCAAGAGCCACAATATGCACATGCTTGTGTGAATCTGGGGTAAGAAACTGAAACTTTAACCATTGCTTGTGCATTTAAATAAAGATATAAATGCAAAGAAATAGACCTGCCATTTCATGCATCTGCTTTTGAAGTGCAATTTTCTGTTTATTATTCCTGTGCCCTCACACCAACAGACAGACGTACAATCTGTGAAAATCATGGACTAAATGAAGAGGAAAGAGAACTGGAGAAACTGAAAAGTAACCAACTAGTTTTTCCTTGCCTCAGGAAATACACTCATGCACAAAGCAATTACTAAGGGATTATTAAAAAGAAGCAACCACAGGCATTTATATTTCCTGTCTCCTCTAAACTTCTGTTGGTGAAAATCAAAGCCTTAAATTTTAAACCAACCTGAATTATGAAACTAAGTTACACGAAAGGAGTCATATTTGACAGTAAATTTATTACTGGATTAATATAATTTTACAATGATTTCTTATAGTTCTGTTCACTCAGATTACTTAAATTCGAACATATATGTTTGATAAGAAGTTGGAAACAACAGAATGTGAACACCAAGGCAAAACTACCAAAGAAGGAAGGATACACAGGAAGAGATCAGTATCTCTTTTCTAGGCTCACAGCTTATATTAATATTCAGTATAGCAGTAGTCCCCCTTTTCAGGTATTAAAGTAACTATAAGTAGCTATTTTACAATTCTAAATTTCTTGGAAAAAAAGGTTGCTATATATTTCTATAAATCACAATATTGATATGTACAGATAAAGGGTTCCTATTTGAATACTACAAATTATTTTAATCAGATTAAAAAACCCAAATCAAAACAAAAAACGACCATAAAGCTTTTAGTTTATAGAAATATAACTACAGGCACAAGATGTACATTTCTCACTTTCTTACTGGAGCTCTGCAATCCACTGGAAAGTTGGGATATTTATGTTCTTCTTCCTTCTATATAAAAGTTGTAGATTCTATTGCCAAACTCCCATTCGCTGTTGCTTATCACCAGCATGCTCAAAAAACATGAAGTCCTAAGAAGCAAACAAAAAGCAAATAAATACCTTTTAAATGTAGTTCTTAGTTCAGAGATCTCCTGGTTGCTTTGCAAGGTATTCCAGGAACCTTCCTCTTGAAATCTCAAATGATGAGAAGGTGGGGGCATGTCTCTCCACCCCCCCATTCACCTGGGTCTCTCAGAATAGGCCACCCACAGAGAGAGAAAGTAGTGGTGAAAGACCTACACAAAAACTTTATCACTAGCCAAACCTATATTTCCTTTACTCAGGATTCCTGCCCTGGCTTTGTTCCATCTGACTCAGTCTCTTCAATTTTATGTCAAACTGGAGTTAATGGTGACTACCTTCAGTTTACATCTAGGGTGTCTGGAGGTCTAGAATAAGCTTGTTATCTGAAATAATTCTTTGTTGCCTTCTGTAGCTAGTTGTAGACACAGGAAGTTCACAACAAGCTGTCACCCGCTACAAGGAGCTCAGAGTCGAATCAGCTCAGTTTGAACATGAAGATGAAACAGTCAGTTAATATTCAAGTATTAGTGAATGACAGACTTACGATAAGGAAGCAAGCACCAATCATGACAGCTTTTATTTTTACATCAAGGTCCATTGGGAATGAAATTCCAAAGTTATCTGTATCTGTAAAGGCTTCTTTCAAAAACCCAGTCCACTGCTTAGAGATCCTCCCAACATCACAAGTCTCATCCACAGACTTCACCTAGTAGAATGTAAAATAAATTTAAAAAAACCCAAATCCATCATTCATAATATTCCCAAGTCTTTTTCACGATAGATTCATTTGAAAGCTTCTGATTGTGTTACTTGAATTAACGAACGCTGTCATTGAATGCACTGTTTGTACCAAAAGGCACCCCTGACTATCAGAAAGTCAGCCTTAAGTAGCACTGACATGAACTTAATTCTAAATCTGACTCTGAAGTTCAATGCTTTAATGGTGTTGGAAGACAGCTACTGCATGCACACACACACTCTCTGCTGGAAGTATTGTCTTTTAGCCAAGAGAGTGAATTAGTTTCTCCTGCCATGAATCAGGAACTGCTCAAGTGAAAATGAAACAAATTACATTCTTCTGTTCCAAAGCAGAGATTAGCCCTTTGTCGACATTATGTTTCCTAAAACTAGATCCAGTCTTCAGGGTCGTGTGAAAGACTAGTCACCAAAAATAAAATTATACCGAATCTGCTTTAGCGACTATTTACACCATCATTTTAAATATTAAATGGTAGACTACTGTATCTACTAATTAATGTGTACAAAAATAATTATGCATTAATCACTGTTATTTTTAAGTGAAAGTTGTAACTCCAGTCATTCAAATCTGTATTTGAGGTCTAAATTATCTTGATTTACTTGGTCATTGAATGATTATTAAATGATTAAATGAGTGGTTGTAGGAAGTCATTTTCATAAATACCTGATACAACTGAGAATAACAGATTTTTTTAGGGCCTAACAATAATAGAATCAGAAAGATTTTGCTGCTAAATATTTCAATTAAGAGATTTGTGTGCAGCCACAGGGAATCAGTCTCACTGATCACTGATGAGTAGCTTCAAGATGTCATTTGTGGAAGTTTGTTTGGCTTATCTAGAGAGGTGATTATACAAGCATTAAAAGATTATGCACTAATTACTTAATATATACTACAGCTACTATCAAACCACTACCTGAAAGAAGATAGATACAATTTTTAGCATTGCATACCTCAAAATTAATGTCCTCACAACAGCTGCAGATAACACATGGGCCAATAATTTTCAATACATCCATTCGTTTCTCATCTTGAATGGTAAACTTTGGCAGACAGGGATGCCAGTTCTGGACAACGTAACCAACTGGTGTTCCTGGAGGTGCCTGAACCTCCAGCTTCAGGAAGAAGAAAATCTCCACGTGAACGTTCATGCTTTGACATGCTTGTTAGACAAAGCCCATACTAGCACACAAACCAAACACAGTTTTTCTTCTACAACAATCTGGTTTTCCAATGCATGAAGCTGCATGGGGTTTTCTGCAAATATTTACAGAATAACTGCACACAAATTGCAACTTTTGCCTTCACTGAAAACAACAAGACGCTCCTAAGGCTGTGGCACACACAAGCCATGTATCTACAGTAGAAAGATCAAAGTCTAGTGAAAGAAAGGCTGTGAGCATCCTGAAAGCATTCAGTGAAAACACCACAGGATGCAGCTACAAATCCCTCAGTAAGACTTCTGAGTAGGCTCAGATTTGAGGTTTCAGAAGTTGCATCAGCCCATAATTATTTTAATACTAAGAAAGCTCACAATTTACTGTTTTGAATTTAGCTATAGCTTTCACAGCAGTATAGTGAAAACTCTAGCTGTTATTTTATTAAAGCCACTGCCCAACTCTTACACCACAAGTCCATCACCAGCATGGATTTTGTCACCAACCACAAATTCCCTGACATGCTGTTGAATCAAATTTTTCATTACCATAATCAGAAGTGGCCAGAGTGAACCCAAGTGTTGCAGCACACTAGCTTCTTCCCAGACCAAAGAGACCCCATGCACAAATCCCATGGATCTTTCTCCACAACTTACAGACGAAACCTGACTTGTTTCCCCACACCTCCTGATTCAAAACAATCCCATCTTAAAACTACACAGGCGGGTCATCTCCCACATGAGGGAAAATGGTAAGAAGGAGCAACTGACCTCCTGCAAGCAGCAAGGAAAGCAGCATGAAGAACACCGAAGGGGTCTCTGCAGCGTTATCACCTCATGGCCCAAGTTGTCGATAATCCGGAGGGTGAAGGGTCGTGATGGCCCACAGCAATTCCTGGTACAGCAGTCTGTGTCCTCTGCTGCACAGTACACTATTTGCCCCAGCGTATTCTTGATTTCATATCTGTTGCTTGTTTCAAAGCCAGTCAAAACTGAAAAATAGGAACAGAACTGTTAAATTTCTGAAGTGCATATGAAGTGCATCTGGTCAGAAAAGTCACCATGCTAACTCTGAAACTACCCTTTGGGAAGGCAGGCCTCACTCCAAGTCTGTCAGAGGCAGCCACTAGTGAAGGGAAATGGTGGGGAAGGACCCCTGAAAAGAGCAGCCTGATGGAGACGTTCAGAGAGAAGCCACCATGAACACGGCAGTGCAAAAACAGCACAGAGATGTCCATCATTCCCCTCCCACCAGACACAGACACCTACTGCCAGAGCAAGCACCACAGTTACAAATAACACAGCATGGAAGATTCTCAGGGAAGAGCTGAAGGGATGAGAATTAAACAAACTTGTAAATTCGAGGGTGAAGTAAGAAAAGAGCTCTAGAGGACATAAATATGTTCAGAAGGAGAAGGCCACAAAAAAAGCCCCACAGTCAAGATTCACAACTGCACAAATAGAAAACAGCAAGGGCCAGCACAGAAATTTTGATTAATTTCTCTACCAAATGAAAGTACTTTTTGAAGCATTATGGAAAGAAAATGTAACAGCATTAAGTGTCAGCCAAGATGGATGGTCCATTTCATTTCATGTATTTGAAAGACACTGATAAGATGACTTTGGTATTCTTAAAGTGAATGGAATGGGGGGAGTAGAAGGAAAGCAGTTCAATCTGCTAAAACAGCAGGATTGCCTGGAAATGGGACTGGAGCTGCACGCCAGTCTATGGAATTAGCTGAAGAGAGAGAGGACAGAAAAAAAAAAGACCTTTTAAGTAGGGAAGAGAGGCAAGTAGAAATATGAATGAATGGCATGGGAAATGCATGACTTCAGCTATAACTAGCTACCAAGATTATTCAGTTGCATTGCTATGTATATTTTAAGATACAGAATCTGCTTAAAAACCTCTGCCCTCCTAGTTTCTCCTTCCTCTCCTCCACAACTTCTGCAGGAATTGAGACAAATAGCAGAGGCAGGAAAGAGAAAGGTGGCAATCCACCTTAAATATGTAGTATCAAAGAAAGTCTAAAGTTTACTGTTCTTGGGATCATTAGATTTAAACATTTTTCTACTATAAATAGTTTTCACTTACTCTCAAGAAGTTCAATTTGCTGATGAATTAATATCTGGTCAATCTGTTTGTGGTTGAAAAATTAAAGTTAGTTAACAAGTTGTAACTAAGAGAAAACTAGTTTTAAGAAACATGGCTGTTTCATTTCAGAATGCAGATTTATGGATCAATACATTGTCTACAGGCAGATCATCTACTGGTAAAGCTGTGGAAGTAGCTCATGTCCCTCCTGTCCTGTCCTCTGTCAATTTAGCAGAACAGTGTTTCAGAGCACAGGTGCAGGTAGCAGAAGTTGTACCCAAGGTGGTCTGGTTACAAGCACACAGGGCTAATGTTCCTGTGCTCCTTTCAGAGCTCAGGATAGCTCAGCTACAGAGCCTAACAGAGCCTCCAACACCACATATCCCAGATGCCTACATCAGGAGTCTGTACGGAAAAAAGCAAGCAAGAAATTTTAGAGAAGCTCAGCTACTGCTCTGCTCTGAGTGAAACTCAGGAAAAATGAGCGTCTCCTCACTGCTTTTTTTTTTTTTTTTTAGCAATTTACAAAACTGGCAACAATACATCAGTGTTAAGCCTTGATATTTGCTCCAAGTGAGGAGATGAACTGTATTTTTATAGTATAAGGACATATTATGCAATGTGGAAACAACTCTCATTTTGCTATTAACATTCTCTACATTGTGAAGTCTGACTAGCGCCTCTCCTAACAACATCATGAAGATGTGTGAAGAAAGTATCATGTAGAAAATTAAGCATTTCTGATGTGCTACAGTTGCCCACATTATATATGTTTATTACATATAGCTTGCCATATCACATTACATCTCACAAACAGTAGCTTCAGAAATAGGGAGGATGTATGATGGCCATGCGCCCCCAGTCCTTTAGCATCTCACTTGGCAGGAGAGCACTCTGAGAAGTGCTGCAGCCATAACAGGCTCCTCCACATTCAAACATGCATCAATCACATTACAAAAGGGTTCACTTAGCAGCTCAAAACAGCAATCTATGCAGCTGCAACAAAGTCAGATGCTTTTTTTAGCTTTTTCATGGGTACAGGATGCCTCTCAGGAGAATACCTGTTCTCTGGGGAAGGAAGAAGCATGCAGGTACCTGTGTAAGGTATTCCAGTCCAGGAGGGCATCTAGGAAGAGGAGGAGGGATGGGCATCCAGATTGTCCCCTCCTTCATGCAGGGCTGGTTCTGGATGGGTGGAACAGCTGGGACTCCCATGGACTGTACCTGGAAGCCATAGCTCCCTGCACCTGTGACATTTGATGTGGTAGGAGAGATGCAGTTATGAAAGTTAGATGTTAGAAAAAAATTGCCCCATGGATCTTCAAAAGATTTATTTGTTCACTATTTTGAACTATGAAGATCCTTATACCTACTATATATTTCAGTTATGAACACTACACCTTTGTGAAGGAAGTTACGCTGGATTGGGATGTCCTAATCCATCCAGACAAATGAATAATAAATAACAAAATAAAATAAATGCATCATTCTTGAATATAGCAGAATTTTATTCACATAAAGATAGGCAATTAAAAAATTAGAAATAACTAAATGAAGGTTATTTGTAAGTAGACAATGTCTTAAAATACATGAAAAGTATTGGCCTTTACAAGTTGTCAGTTGAGCAAAAGAGGAATTTTAAGACAAAGTTTTTCTGGAGTTATACCTTCTATTATGTGATAGGAAATGTCCCTTTAGCAAAGTTGATTTGAATTTTTAAAACCAGATGAGTGTGATCTAAAAGCTACACTTTTTCATTTGTTTAATGGATTCTCCTTCAAAACAGTAAATCCACAACTCCTCAATGGAGGATGTGCATAGTAAAGGAGGAAACAGTTCCACATTTTGTGAATGCTGGGTAAGATTTCTCCAGTTAGCACTCGATAGGAAACACAAGCTCTCATGAAGCACTTCAGGGTCTAAATGCTCAGCACCCCACCAGATGGCACACGCAGCACTGCCTGATGCTCAGAGCGCATCCCACATCCCCCGGCTGCGCACAGAGCCCTGCCCTGCTTGCAGCAACACGGCCTTTGCTACAGAGATGCTTTATGACATTATAGCTGAAGCTGCTAAAGTACTGAAAGGTACAGAACAAGAAATATATTTTTTCCCTCATTTAATACTTTCCTGGTAGGCAGATAGGCTTTCAATCTGATGCAGAGGAATTCTATCTTTTACTCAGAAGCAAACACAATGCAGAAGCCACAAAATATATTTTTGCAGAGCTGTACAAAATAAAATAGTTCAAGAGATTCTGACCTGTAGACTTATTTTTAGCCCAAGACTGTTCAGCACTGATGTTTCATGTTACATTAGAAAACAGGGACTGTACATGTGAAAGCTCATGCTCTGGCCATAAGCAGGCTGGTACCTCAGGTGATGTAAACAGCTGTGGCTTAAAACTCGTAGGTGGTAGGATGACTCATCCTAGAGAAGGATCCACCCTTACGGAATATAAAATCACTTTTCTGTCTGAAAACGGCTTTGCACACAAATTGACTATCTACTGCCATTGTGTCTGTGCACATGAAACTATTCAAAACAAAAAACGCTCCCCTGCTCTTCATCACACAGGTAGCACGTGCCCATTCCCCGCTGAAGCTAACTGTACTTACAGACCTCAGATTGCCTGATGTACACAAGGTGCGCAAGCTTTAACTTAGGAACAGCACAGTAACTTAGGCCAAACATTCTGCCTTTTATCTATAGCCTATTCTTTGAGCCTGATTGTTAGATATTGCTCATTGTGATTTGGTTCTTCACAAAGAAATTAGCTGCCAGAACATGAGAAACTATTTAGGAGTGTTGCATTTTGAATGTGGAGCAGAAAATGAGATAGAAGAGGGAGGAGAAAGGAGTGAAATGTAAGGTATAACCACATGCAAAGTAAAGCAACAGAGTAGGAAACAGGAACAGAATACATGGACCAGCAGAACTGCAAGGGGAAAACAATTATTTTCTCCAGTTCTGGATTTCTAGAGAGAAATAAAGTGAGAAACTGAAATAACATGTTAATAAAATATCTGATCATCAGCAAGAAGCTGCCACACATTAATTGCTTTGCATCACACCTCTCTAAAAAATTCCCTCAGTGGTTACTGTGGGAACATCTTTTAACTTTTTTACTTCTACCAGTGTTAGTACTGCTTAGCGCATGCTAACGTGTAGCACCAAGAAGGAAAGAAGATGATTTTTCAGCGAAACGGAAATGAATAGAAACTCTAAAGGATTAACTTCAGAAAAGTAAATCAGAGATGGTCGCCCTCATAAAACCTCCTACTTCCCATGCTTTTTTCTTAATGATATAGCAGATCCGTCGCCAAGCAACCAACCTTGGTAAATCCCAGGTCCATGCTGTTGGTAGCCATAGGGGACTTGATTTTCTGGTGCGTTAGTGTTTGAAAATCCAGGTGATGGGGCAGGTTTATGCACTGGAAGAACAGAACACATGCTTTGAGTATTGCTTGTTTCTTCCTATCGGGTGAATGACCACAACATTGCCTCATTTTTCAGAGTAGACATACAAGAAAATTAAGTAGCTGTTCTCTGTATAGCAAAAACTGTGTAACAAGCTCGTATTTATTCAAAATATTAAACATCAGTAGAACTTACAGGAGTTCTGATCCTTAAAGTGCAGAAAACCAGCAGGTATTGCACATGATGTCACGAAGATGTCACAGAACCACAGAATCATTTTGCTTAGAAGGGACCTCATGAGTCACATAGTCCAACTCCTGCTCAAGCAGGGTCAGTTCACTTTCTGTCTGGACCAGAGGTGCCTTTGTGCATTTATATTTAGAAGGAGGATTTAATTCAAAGACTTGCCAGGGAACTGACAGGCTGCCCTCCTGTATGGAACAGACTGGTAATGAGCCATTCTCCACTATATAAAATATTTTCTTTCAATTTCTCCAAGTTAGAACTATATTAATGTCTCACCAGCAGACTCAGAGGGTTAGGGATTTAAAAACTTTCAGCAAGTTCAGTTTGCAAGCAGAAATAACTTGAATTTCAAGATTTAAAAAAAAAATTATTTAACTTCAGAAATCAAGATCAGAAAATGTAAGCCGTATGTTTTGTAAATTATTCAATTTTAAAATGTAAATAATTTCAATTTAAAACATTCATGCATACTTCATAAAATTAGAAGGTAAATTAATAGCTATGCTAATATTGCTTAAACACCTTGGAAGGACCCATGTTATCTCTGATATTAAAAAAATATGACATTCTGTTTATATTATACTCACCTTGCATTGCTGTAGATCAGCTTATAATTGTTCTGCAAAACAACATATTTCATGCTTTTTTTAATATATCATTTCACAGGAGTTATTCAGAGTTCTCTATTAACTCTAATAAAAGTTACTGGCCTGTCTAGACTGGATGGAAAAGCCAAATTACAAATAAAAGCTAAAATAACTTTAAATATCTTCTAAGATTTGCCTCCACCAAAACATAAATCTGAACTACCTATGCCTGCACTCACGTTTTGAGTATCCTAAAGCCATGCTCAACTCAGACGTAAGTATTGGGATGTGCAGTTATTTCACTGCAGTGCAAGACTCCATTGTGCAGCCATTCAGAAGCATCACGAAATTCACATGAACAAATTACTGCCGTAATTTTGGAGCAACTGTTTTAGTGTATCGATGTTGACTACAAAACCCGCTTGGGTAAATCCTGGAGCAGTCATGACGCCATGCTACTGCATATTCAATACTTCATGCTATTCCACTTCTGAAGCGGTACTACTAAATATCATGTATCAAATTTTTGTCTCCGTGTGATAAAAAAGGGTGGGCTTTCCCTAGTGAGTGGGCTTCCACAGCAGAATATCATGAATGAAAGGGACAACTGCTTGTTTTTTTCTTTCTACTCTTTCAGGGTCACCAAAAGGAGTTAAAAAAACATAGAAGGGATATTTCCTGATGCCAGCATCAACCTTGAGAGATGCTCCTTTCAGTCTCTGCGGTACAAGAGAAGACAATGGCACCTTCGATTAAAGACAGGGGTCCAAAATATCCAGGAGATCCCTAAGTGGATGTATAAAAGATAATGGTTATAGGAGCTTCTTTTTATAGGATCAAAACCTTTTAAAAAACCCAATAAACCTAGTTATTCTTTAAAAAGAACTCAGTGCAAGCTAAACTACTAATATATTTTGCCAGTTATGGTTCTTCCAACTAGTTCAGTTCAGTGAAGATGGTCATTCAAAGCTGGGAATGAAATCGAAACTGAAAGCAGTTCCTTCCTGCTTTTCACTCTAGGAGTAAAAGCAGATGTCACAAGAGCATGTTTAACAGTTTCTGGGATGACATGGCACCTAGCTCAGTTTCCAACTCATACACAGGATTCTCTTTGTTTAATAGATTCTTTTAAAGTGTTTCTTTTTTAAGGTTTGGTTGTTGTGGTTTTTTGGTTTTTGTTTTTGTTTCTTTTAAAACTTTCCTAGCAAAGCCACCATCCTATTTTGTGTACTTTAATTGGATTCTGGTCCCCATATGAATAAAGGTTAAAAAAAAAAAGAAATAATTTAAAATTATACATCTAATCTAAAAATCTGAAAGAACATATTCAAACTACATAACTTAAACCTTGTTCTCACAGTTGATAATATAGTGACAACTTTACTATATGACCATATTAAAATATGTTGACAAACCTACCAGTTTATAAGAAAAACATGAACTAAAGATGAATAAAAAACCATTAATTAAACTAGCAAAATATCAGTTTATCAGTTTATACTGCGAGATGTTCCAGCTACCTGATCTTCAGTGAAATACTGAGAATTATAACTGAACCCTTTGGTAAAGGGAGAGCAGAGACATGATATGATTTATTTAAAAGAAAAGCTTTACAGTAGCCCAGAATCTTTTTTCTCCCTATAACCACACATATATACCACTGTGCAATCTAGGATTTAGAAAATATTGATAGACCTATAGCCAGAAAAGCAGCAAAGATTTTATAAAGTTCAACTCCCATATTCATGAGATATGATGTTAAAGAGAATAGTTGATTATTTGATTTTAATAGTTGATTATTACTAAAATGATCTCTTTATTTCCACTACTTTTTATCTAGACCAACCACTTCTACCACCTCCAATTCAGTCATCAAGATTAACACATTGTCAGTCATGCCCTGCTTTATATCCAGATAATTTATAAAGATTGTGAAATAACATAAAATTCTGAAATAGCAAAGAAAGAAGGAACAAAAACTCACTTTGTCAGCCTTCATATTAAACAATATATTGTTCAGCCATGTTGTTATTCATGGGGAAATAGCCACCTTTGTAATCCCAGTCAAGAAATACTAATAATGAGCAGACCAGTCACTTAGAAATGTGTTGGTTCCAGGTGCCTAGGTTACACAAAGCAATGATTTGAAGCCTACATTTTCAATTCAGCTAAATAAAATGAGGCTTTACATGCTGCTAGCTATTACTTGTAACTGTTTTTAAAAAAATATAGGGAAGAATCATTGAAATGTTACTTACTTAGCAGGAAAAAGTAAAGATATATGCATTTAGTTCTAATACAAAAGAGGGAGAATGTTATTTCTTTGTAATTGAGTTAAAATTCCACAGAATTAAAGGAAAAATACAGAAAGAAATTGCTTCAGAAAGCAGAAGTCCATTACTGAATTAATTTTAGTTCAACAAAAACAGTAGCTGCATGAATCCCTTGTGCTACACTGGCCACATGCTGCAACCTGAATGCACAACATAAATCACAAGTAAGTTGTATTGGAGTGAATAAGCTGGTTGTGGTGTTTCAGAAGAAGCAGCTGTATATCTTTGCATATATCTTATAAAAAACTTGATAAGGCCCTGAGCAATCCCACCTAATTTGAATTTAGTCTGGTTTTAAGCAAAGGAATGGACCAAATGACCTCCAAAGGTCCTCCAAATGACCTTTACAACCAAAATTATGCTAGGATTACAAGGGTCCTTCACACTTTATTACATTACCTGAGGTATTTGTTGATCAAACATTCCCCAGAGTCCCCCAGCTGGAGTGCAGAACTGTGAAAGGAGGATGGTGACAGGGCTCCAGCTCCCAGCACCTCACCCCTCACTGGGGCTCTTTTAGGTTAGGGCTACATGAGGGAGCCTGTGCCAAGAAAAGCACCCGAGTTTTGCCCTTTCCTGGCAAGATTCCCACAGTAACTCATAGCTCTGAGTCCACTCTCCCACAGGGAGCACAGATGAGCTATAAATATCCTCTCTACTCTGGAGGAGGGGACATACCTGGGTTCAGCTTTACACAAGCGAAAGCAGAAGCAATTTTTCTGGCAAGAAGGAAACACCAGGGGAATGGGAGAAGCTTCATGCAAAGTGGCTGTTGGGGAATGAACGACACTTATGAAACACAGTCTCTGGATGGTCTGAGGTCCCCCTGCTGTGCCTGCGTGCCAGGACCAGGGAAGGCTGCACACAGCCAGCCGCCTCGCCTAAAACCACAACTTGAACCTCGCAGCATGGTTTCCAGCTTCAACCACGGCAACAGAGGGAGGAAATGAAAGGCAAAAGAACTGCCCCTCTCCCCAAATGCTCCTTCAACTGCCAAGAGCAGCTGTTCAGCTGCAGGTTAGCAAGCTGACAGCAGACCCCCACGTCTCTTTTGCTGTACTGCTTCATGAGAGAAAGGACCGTAAGAAGTCTCATTCTGCATACCCTGTCCCTGTATGTTGCACTATCTAGAACCTGTATCGCCAGCCTTCCTCCACACCCATAGGAGTTCCCGGACCTTCTCCCTTTGCTCTCAGAACTAGCAGTCAATTGCTGAGATAGCCCAAACCCTCTCGCCCAGCACCAGCACACCCAACCCTCACTTTCTCCTTACTTCCTTGAATCGTTATTCTAATGGGGAGCATGGAAGCAACCCCCAGAGGCACCCAGGTGCCCAGGCACAGTGTTCTCCCTCTCCAGGAGTCCTGAGCCCAGGCACTTAAAGATAGCCAAAAACTTTTGGAAAGGAAATCAAGGAAATACTGCTTCCACGGGAAGTAAAGATAATTGTTCTAGTTCAGACAGCAGTAAGGAAATAACATCCCTAGATTGGTCCTTTTTAAGGAATGTCCATGTTTCTTTTCAATCACTTTCTCATTTTCAGAACTGCATTACAGAGCTACATGTCCCTTACCCTGATTCATGTCAACAGATACACTGCAACTGATTTAGAGACATCTTAATCCAGTTAACTACAGAGCTTCTGCTTTTTATCAGAAACACAGTATACTAGCATGACTATCAGTTTCATTTCTTAACCCAGCTCACTAAAATAGTGCCAAGAGAAGGTCACACATCCTGTCAATTACATACCAAGCCAGGCCCTTTCCGAAAAAGTCTGTGATTAAAAAAAACAGGCTTAGAAGGCAAAATAGCAGCAAGGCATGCAGTAGTTCACCGTAGTTAGCTTTATGGCACTTTCTTCATCACGTCACATTAGACTATTCAGCCACTGGATTTTAACCTTGACTACCAGAGAAATAGAGAAAAGTAATCTAGTTGATCTAGTTAAACAGGTTAATTTTCTGCTAAAGTTAACAAAATAGCCTTCAGAGAAGGAATGACATGTGAGATAAATTGTCATAAAATTACTTTGTTCTAATGCAGTAAGGTACCCTCTCCCCTTAGATAGACATCTCTCCTGAAAACTGGCCGTCCCCCCACCTGAGAGAGCCAAAGCACAGGTCACGCTCGGGTACCCAGGCTCGCTGCGATGAGGGCACGTTCCCGGTGCTGCTCTTGCTGGGTGACAGGGCCACCCCCGCCCGAGCCCCGCCTGCTGCTGTCAGCTCTCTGGAGCGGGGCTCTCCCGGGACGGCCTCGGCAGCTAGATCCTTCCTTAAACCAGCCTTTGCAGGCAAGTTACTCTGCTGCAGAGACATTTTGTAACTCATTGCACAACTGCAACCGGGAAATGACCACCAGGTCCTTTTCCCGGCCCTTCTAATCATTAAGCATCCCAGCGATGAAAACAGCTGCCTGGCAGGGCTACCTGGAAGAAATCACGGACAGTAGTCACATGTTCACAGCAAAAAAAAAATACCCGATCCCGAAGCCGAGGAGCCGCCCCAC